GCCTTTGGGAGAGCCTGTGCCAGGAATTGAGCCAAAAGGACTTGTGCGGGTTGGTAAGATGCAAAGAGAGGGATGGGAGCGGAGGAAAAAGAAAGCCGGAACGTACGGGACCTCTGACCACTTGTGAGCTCGCTGGCAGAAATGGTAAAAGTGCCATTTTCTGCCCAGTGTGAGCCCTTGTCCAGTTGGTAATAATTGTTAATAATCAAGTTGGCCAAACTTGATTACCAAAAAGGACCAGGCATTTGGGATGGAGGTCAGGAGCCAACTCAGAAAGGTTGGCCAGTAAACACCCTAAAGGAGTGTCCTTAGAGGGCTTGGATAAAGGACTTCCCATGGTGTCTCAAACTGCAGGGGGTTTGGGCAGAGAAGAAGGGCATTCCCTGGTCCCCCCGTCTGCACCCGTCAGACAGTCCGGTATTCCTGAGGGTGTCCTGATCAGAGTTATGGGCCCAGCGGAGTGTTCCGACTACTCCCAGGCAGAAAGGCTCCCTGGTGCAGGCCTGTGGCTTTGTCCAGCAGACGTGGACCTTGGATCAGAGAGAGACACAATGGGAGCCAAGGAGGGGGAAGGGGCCAAGCTTTATGGCCAATCAAATGGAGGTTGGTCAGAGGCCTTTGTTCAGGGAGAGAAGAAGGGGAAGTAGAAACTTTTAGAGACGGCACTGCAGAGCCACAAACACAGAACACACAAACAGGTAGAAAAGGCCCAAGGGTACAGTCCAATATGAAGGCACAGTGACTGCCAATCCCAGGGACAACAGTCCTGCTACTCGCAAAAGCCTAGGAAGTAAATACAGAGACAGAGGGCTGGGGGCCACATGGGACTGGGACCACACTAACAGGCATGAGAAACTGACCTTGTGGTAGCACCCCTTTCAGGGGAAGGCAGTTATTTCCGGCTCCTCTTAGTACTAGGGTAGAAGTATAAACCCCTTCCACGGCACCCCTTTCGGAGACCCTATGTTCTCATATGAGTTTGATGGTCATTGTGCCTGAAGTGGATCTGAGGCAGGAGAGACGAGACAAAACACAGACATGACACAGACGCAGGGTGGGTGACGAAGTATTAACCAAAGTCCAGGCATCAGGATTTGATGGCAGAGGTTCAGGGAGGAGAGGGAGATAGCATTGCACCCATCCAGGACAAGGTGAAGGCCTGTCAGGACCCCTACTCTCCTCTTGGGTTTCAGCACCAAATGTAAGGTAAACTGAGGCACGCAGTGAGACCAGAGTCGGATCGAAGGAAAATAAATTCAAGGACAGCTTTATTGTAGCAAAAGAGCTCCCGGGCAAGGTCCCCCGACCTAGTGAGGCAGGTCGGGGAAGTTGAGCCCAGTGGTCAGGGTGTAGGGTTTTAAAAGAAGGTGCCTGAGGGTGGAGAACCATCCGAGGCAGCAGGTGTTGCAAGCCGTCCCAAGAACAGTTTGTCAGCTTCTTGCAGTGCTCTGTGTACCAGAACTCGAGGTTTCACTCCCTGAGCCTGGTTGCTCCATCTTGCTGTTTGGCCTGGCTAGTTTACAGCTTTGAAGGGGGCCCTTCAATTTGCATGCCTGACCCTGTCCAGACAAGAGTGTGCAAATTTTTACAAAGAAACTGGTTGAGTTCACCAACGTCACCAACAAATGCAGAGATTAAAAACAAAGAGGGAGAGAGAAAAATAAGCCATAACTTTAGTTCCCCCGTCACCTAGCAGCGGTAATCATTTGTATTGAAACACATTTTTAGTAGTGTCTGACCAAAGCGATGTTCAAGAAGTTGTAGTGGATTTTTTCTTGGTCCTGTACATTTTAGGCATCTGGGAAGAGACGAGCTGCCATTTGACATTACGTTCATATTTCTCATTTGGGCACGGATATCTTTGACCAATCTTCTCAGGGACTTTACTGCTTTCCTTATTTTTAGCCCAAGACTTGCCCACGAAGACCAGGTGAGTGTTTTTATTTTTCACGGTTCTTAGCAACTCCTGGGTCTTCTTACTAAATGTATTTGTTTGAAGCCTGCAGAAGCAGAGAGGGAAAAATCCTATTAATTCTAGATGTTGCATCTCCACTGGATTGTCCAGCTGGCCCTGTCCTGAGGCACCCTTCTTCGGCATTCCTAGGAGGCTCTGGTTCTTCCCCTCAAACAAAAGGGATATGTGCTCTAGACGAATATCTTCATTCAAGACACAGAGCTCCCCCTAGCACGGTAGATGAAGAACTCCACATACAGCCTGAGAGATATTGAGGTCCCAGAGAACACTGTCGATACAGAACTCGGCACTGAGCACTGTGTATAGCGAGTTCTCCATACAGCACTTCTACGGAAGCCAAAACTTCTGCCGGCAGAACTGTTTGAAGTTAAAAGTGTATTCGATACTTGTTGCGTGCTCAATAGTTTATACCCACGCATCATTAGCTCCCTATCAGCAGGTACAAGTCATGTCATGACTTTATAGAACGCATCATTAGCATTAGAGCTCAGCATAGATCCGCTTGTGTGGCTAAAGAACAGAAGACCACTCTAGCCAGAGCCTGCGTTCGTATCGTTGGCACAGCTTTTTCAAAGCAGCCAGGGAAGTTCATGGTCGCTTTGCTTTCTTATGCCTTCTCTGGATCTGAGGTAAACATTTGGATAAAAATATCTTTAACATCAGAAACGAAATCATTTTTAAAAAGCTATATTTACTGAGCACTTTGGTACTAGCATGTAGCATGGTAAAGGTGGGATATTTTGTATTATAAAAGAAAACAGTGTTAACTGGACATCCCCTTACAGAAGGGTCGCGGGGAGGAGATGAGCCAGTCAGGGCGCAGTGTAGCAACGATGAAACATACAACTTTCCTCTAGTTCTTGAATACTTCCTTTCTCCCCCATCACCTGCCTGCACTACCATGATCCCAATTCTACCTAACAAATCCGACTAGACCAGAGGATGTGCACTGGTACAGATAGGAACTGGAAACACAGGGAATCCAAGACAGATAAACCCCTCAGGACCAGTGATGAGAGTGGCCATACCAGG